TTTTTTATAAATTAAATTATTTCATGTACACTATATTAACCCATTATAAATTAGATAAAAATGAAAAATTAAATCCATTATAACATATAAACTGAAAGGGTTAAAGTGAAAGAATAATATATTTTGGGTCAGAGAGGAATCGACTTTAATTGACCTAGGATCAAGAAACAAATTTTTTTTTTTTATGACAAGGGGTAATGGTTAGGAAATTAGTATGAGTTAGTAGTTAGCAACCACAAATTTTTTTTTTTTTAACAAGAGTAATGGTTAGGAAGTTAGTATGAGTTAGTAAATTAGCAACTGAGATTCCTAGAATGGTGAACATTTTACCTCTCAAATGAGACGCGCGGCCATTAAGCCGCAAATTAGTGGAGTTCATGGCGGTGACAACGCTAAAAACCTTGACTTTCGCTTTCCCCAAACCTTTAAGGTTTGGGGGCGAACCATTGGCCTCAGGCCCGGTTCGCAATCAAGAAACAAATTAATAGAAGAACAAACTGGAATACTAACCTGGGGCAAGGCCGCGTGGAAGAAGAAGCCCAGTGTTGATATACGAGTGTGAAGGGCAACAAGAACACACAAGGAAAACTTGGAGTAGAAAATATACAGTACCTGTGATATTACATGAAGAATCAGCATATTTAATAATATGTTTATGTCAGGTCATTAATTTTAAATTTTGGAGAGAAAAAGAATAATAAAATAGAGAAGAAGGATAAAGAAAAGAGAAGAGAAAGCTCAATAATGAAGAGACTGGGGGAGAAGAAAATGATTTAGACGATGATGGCTATAAGAGAGAAGAGTGGAGAAAGAAAGAAAAATGAGAGAAAGAGGGAAAAGATGACAAAGACGTAGAGAAGAAAGACAGTTGGGAGAAAGTGAAGAAATACAAGGCTCGAGAAGATGGAGTAGATGAGGTGAAGGGTGCGAGTGAGATAACCTCTAGAGAAGTTGAAAATGAAACAGAAAGAGAACAGTAAGAAGAGAAGGTGTAGGATAAAGCAAAAGAAGGAAAGGAAAAGACAGCAGAAGAAGAAAAGGAGAGAGTTGAGAGGAGAAGAAATTTCGAAATCAAGTACAAGAGGAAGGACGTTAGCAAGCTAAAAACGAAATTGGAGAAGATTAATAGTAAAATAGAAACCCTTTTTCCGTAAAAGGCAGAGATCCCGATGCAGATAGAAGAAGCTGAGGAGAAGCATCGTGATATGGCAGAGAAGCATTCACAAGCACCAGCCACTGCAACTGATTTGGCATAGCACCCTGCAATTGAAAAAATTGGGTTTCAGTTTCAACTTGTTATAGTAATATGGGATGTCTAGATATGTTCATAATGCAAGGCCAATAAAATGCCTAGTTATTGAAATCTATAATATTTTAGAAGGTTCGACCTTTATCCAAAAAAAAGGAAAATTACAAGGTTCAACCTCTCATGTTGTCACTAAAATAGCTGTTACTTTCTCTGATGAATAAAATTGCCTGCAGGAATTTGCAAAATTTTCTCTCTTTTAGTTATCAAATTTTTTTGTGTGTAAACTATTTGAAGGGTTATGGATTCTGTCAAATAATTCCAACAAGGGATGAACCTGATATACATCCCAGACCTGTTGGTAATGCATTCCCTGCTCTTGAACTGGTCAGTTGCAATATGATGAATGCATTTTCGTTGATCAAAAAAAAATGATGAATGCATTTTCTTGTTTCACATCAAAAAAGAAAATCAATTAAAGTGCGAACCACTCACATCCACAATTTCTTGCTCTTGTTGAGAAGAGAGATTATCAATGAGCCATTTGTGGTTAGAAAATATTGTTATTATTATTACTAGTATTATTTTATCATAATGACAATTTTTATTAAAGGGCTTACAAGACTTTTTTTAATCAACCCATAAAACTGGGTAGAAATTATTATGATTCTAGCAAATACAACACAATCAGAACAAAAAAAAACACTGGAATTCACCCAAATCAGAATCCTGGTCCCCCCTTTTAATTGTAAGGTTTTGTAGTAGGGCCAAATCCAAATGGGTAGAGGGGACCATAATGCATGTCCCCAACATTCATTGACAGTTAAGCAACAGTCTTGAACCAAGTTCGTGGAAGCTTGCCAGTGAATCCATAGTCACCAAACAACACATCTGCAACACCCTGACCTTCTGTGCCCGGTAGCCCAGCAGCAACAAGAGCATCCATTGAGCCAACATATGGTTCAATCACAATTGGACGACCAGAGACTATGATAACACATTTCACATTTCCACAGTCGTTTGCGATTGTGCTAGGGCCACGGTCAGGAATGGTCAAATTGAAACTATCACCTAGTGTCTCTGCATAATGGGTCTCACCTACAACCACGATGGCATAAGATAAGAAATTGCTGTTCTTCACAAAGAAGGCATCAGGATTCTCCTCATATTCAACTTCTGTTTTGGGATCAACTGTGTTCTTGATTGCAGTGAGGATTGTACTGCCTACTCATAGAAAGGATCATGGAAAAGACTGAAAGTTAGGTTGATAAAATGCGGCTCTGTTTGGTTTAACTATTAGTTAGGTAATATCTACTAGCAGTTATCAACTGTTGTTATTTAACAATTAAACCAAACAAAACTGAAGACTAAAACAGGTGTAATTAGAATATATATATCTGTATCAGAAACGAAACATAATAAAAATCATATGGTTTTAATTACAGTTTTCCAACCAAAAAATTGTAATTTCCGAAGACTTTAGAAAAAAATTTCTTGTATATTATCAACAAAATTGGTACGGACCTTATGGTATGTTTACCATTTGTGAGGTTGTTGCCGCTAAGTCCCTGCCTTTGAAGTGTCCACCCACCACACTGATAACCAGATTGTCAGCTTGACTACCAGCTACTAGTATTTTAGGTGCCTTCTTAGAAAGAGGAAGTAAAGGCTTATTGGTAGATTTTTCATTCTTAAGCAGCACAAGTGATTTCCTCACAGCTTCCCTAGCAAATTCTCTATGTTCCTGTCTAGTAAGTATATATGATAAATTAGATTAGAGAATATTGACTATCAACCTTACCTCCTAAAAATTAAGAGTACAATCATTGCAAAATTACGTTGTTTTAATAAATTTCTATTAAAAAAAACTAAAATATCCTAGTATGAATTAGAGTGTTTTTTGTCTTTTCTTGTAGTATTTTATTAAAATTAAGTAATTTTGAAATAATTTTTTTTATAATCTTTAGGAGATAAGACTGATAAGTACTATTCTCATTAGATTATTATTTATTTATTTATTTTATTGTTTGTATCAATCAATTAACTGGTAATAACCTGACTACCAAGCTGGTCCACTAGGCTGACATCTGCCAATGGATTCTCAAATACACCCAACATGAACTTCACTCGCAAAATTCTTTTCACTGCATCATCAATTCGACTCATGGGGATGAAATTATTGCTCACCAGGTA